GTCTGGACAGTTCACGTCCCCTTCGGTCAGAGCTGCACAGAACGGAGCAAGTGGAAATTGTTTCAATTGTTTAACCTTCCATGTTAAATTATGAATAGGGGGACTAGAAGAATTAAAAGGATTAATTGTTAAAGAAATGCCAAGAATATACCCAAATGGTTCTGGACAGGCAGAAATAAAACGAACTGAACATTTTTTCCCAGAAGTGCCGGGTAGCCATCTGTGCCGATGAACGTATGAAGACATTGAGAAAAAAATATGCACAATAACGATCAGAACAATTACTCAATATCTTACAGCTAGCCTGGCACTAAACTTGTGCACCTCCTTTCTGGCTCACCTAGCAAGAGGGCTGGTGCTGTTAGAAACCAAATGTGACAGTCGGGCTGCAAGCGGAGGTCTGGCTCAACATTAAGCTTACTCCTGTATTTGGTCTTTAGTGCCACCAGTGCAGAAAATCCGGTTTCACAAAGTTTTGTCGGAATCGGCATAAAAAAAAAAATCTCAGCTTTGTCCAAAAGATCAGGATACTCCAAAGTAACATGAAGCCAAAAACTGGTTATGAATTTCTGTGAAAAAAAAATCAATTTTAAAGCACGGTCACGGGCTAGCTCCATAAGGCTGTCTTGCTCCTGTGTGCTCAAACTTGCAAGAGCTTCTTCGTTTAAATTTACAAAAGGATTTTCAATCCAGCTGAACTGGACATCTGGAGCCGGGAAGTAGTCGTGCAGTTGGGTCCTCAAACCTTGCAGGTGCTCTGTAATTAACTGTGACAGAGGCTGGTAGCTGCATTTGTTCTTTTGTTAGAAAATCTGACATTTTCAAACGAGTCCTAGTTTGACCGGTCAATACGTTTGGCCCACATTTCCAGTTTCTTTATCGTGCCTTCTATTTTACTTTGGACGTTAAAAAATCAACATGATGAAAATGAAGCTACCATCATCATTCCCTGCTGAATACCAATGTTCATTCCTGGCTCCTAAAGAGACATACCAGCAACTTCCTAGATCTGAATTCTGTTGCAAAGTGGTGGAACCAGAAGAACACGCAGATTAGTACCACACACACCATCACCCTCATTAACCCTCATAGAACAGGGGTGGATAAACCTGGGTGTCTGCAAGTTACGGAGAAGAATGACCTTCTCTCATCTGCAAGCTCTCAAAACAGAAGTGGAACAGGTGGTGACAGGCTGATCAGGAACGAGGAGACCTCACCTTCCTTGACTTCAAGCAGAGCAGGGAGCTTCTTCTGCAGGGGG